TGCGCGTCACAGCGTCACCACCATGGTCTGGCATCGACCTGCACCCTCAGTCTTGAGGGTGTCTGCTGCGAGCCAAAACATTGCCCAACATCAGGGTATTTCTTTAAGTACCTGATGAGACGCTTCAAGTCAGCAAGTTTGGCTTCTGTTGGTGATACCATACCTCGAGCAAGGTTCTTGACTGCGTGTCCAATATCGAGTCGATCTTGGGACAAGTACGCAGCACGCATCGTTGCTGAACGATACTTTGATGCCTCGCTCTTATCAAGCAGCGGACTGCGGCTTTCCAGCATCTGCTGATCTGCCGACTTCTTGACATCTGGTGATTCTACACCATTTGCTTTCTCCAGGCCAAATGCCTGAATCAAAAGATCAACATGTCTCCGATCGGCTTCGATCACAATTGATCCTTTGCCGTTCTTCTTATCAACTCGGATTAACCGATTCAGAAAATGAGCTTCTGTTCGGTCTCCATCCTCGTCTCCAAGAATTCCGAGACATTTCAGCTCATAGGCATCTTTGAGGACTTGGCTGAGCTTCTCCAAGTGTTGGGCGTCTCCAAGTGCTAGGAAGTCATCTCCATGCACCATTACTCTGACATCCCAAGCTTCTTGGTAGAAGACTGACGCATTTGACAGCCTCTGCGGAAGCCAGCCTTCTGCAGAGTCTCTGTGTAGTGCGTCTGCCAGATATTTGGAGCGTCCTGTGTTCCATACATCGACTTCACGAGAAGTCCACAGGTTTGTCCATCTTTACTGGCTTCGTCCTCAGGCGGCAGCTCTATGTAGATCTTTCTCTTTGGAGTTCCATAAAAGTGTGCTCGTGAGATGTCCCACAAGCCCAGCTTCAGCGGCTGGTTGTGGCAGGACTTTCTCTTTGTTGCCCACAACGAGCACAGCAGTCTCATCGCCTCTAATGGGGGCGTGCTGCTGAAAAGCAAGTTGGCTGGCAATTGTTCCTCTTTGGTCTTTCTTGCCTTTATCTCACGCACAACTAATCGGCTCCTATAGTTCGGGTTTGTTGGATCTCCCTTGTTGGTGTCCAACCATCTGACTGGAATCGGGGGCTTCCCCGTTTCCTCAAAGCATTCGGCTCTCGGCCGGGGCACATAAACACCATGCTTTTCTTTCAAATAATCCATCTCAAGGCGTCTTGCCTCCTTCACTTTCTCGGCTGGCAAAATGCCGCCGTTCACATCATCCATGTAGACTTCTTCGAACTCAGGGTCCATCAGAGGCATCTCTGGAACTGGGCCTGCTGCAAACAAATCAAAGGTGTTCAACTCACCTTTCTCGGCTAGCGTGTCACGCAGACTCCTCAGCACTGCTTTCACGAGCTGCGGTGGGTATACCGCTGCCTGCCTTGCAATGCCTCCGATCAGATGGATGTGTCGGTGCCATGGTCCTTTGCCCGATTCATTCGAGCAGACTCCTTGCAAGACTCTGGCCAACCCTTCATCGTTGGTCATCCAACCGGTCTCCTTTCTCACATAGCCGGTGCCTTGGAGTCCTCTTCGGTCAGTGGCCATCATTTGCCACCTGCACATTGGACCCTTTACTACGAACACTCCATCTTCTTTTGCTAAGGCCGCAACTTTCTCATCCTTCCAACTAGTTGCGGACCAAGGTGCCTCATGGAGGAATTTTCTTCCTGAGCGATGGTGTTTGACGTACAGCTCTACGCTCGTATGGAGATGGTGGACGGCTTCGTCCATTTTCCTCCTCCGGACATCCGGTGCCATGCTTCTCCAGTTGAGGTTCTGGAGCTGTGAGAACATATGGCACGGAGGCGAACCAGTCAAAAGCGCCGGTTCGTCCTTCTCAAGGATGTCGTGCGCTTCTTGAACATCTTCGGACTTGTTCAAGTCCCAGTATGTTCCATCGCTTTTCATTTCATTCAAGTCGACCGCAAAACCCGGTCGCAACTTGTAGCGCTCTGCAAGCGCAGTGAACCTCTTGGGCGAGTAGATCTCCATAATATCTACTGCTGACATCTGCATGCTCAAATGAGCGATGTCTCCGATCTCTTGCTCAGAGATCTCGATGCCATTTGCCTCATAGGTTCCTTGGATGATCTTCTTCAGATGCTGCTTTGCGATCTCCTTCTCTTTTACCAAGCTGGCTGCATCTGGCTTCCACCCTGCTGGTGGTGTTTCTGGAACATACGAAAACGTCTCAGTTTTCCTTGGACTCTCTTCCACTCTGGGATCAAGGTCTTCTACGGCGGTCTCTGCCGTCCTCTTTGTTCCTTGGGCTGGATTCGGCTTGACCTTTGCCCCAGGTGGATCTATCCTAAGCTCTCCTGTTCTCTTCTTGGGCTCTGTTGCTACCTTGGCTTTTGCCACTGGCTTCTTCTCTATCTCTGCTGCTTGCCTCTTCATCTCATATCTCTCTTTCGGGTCATCGGGATAGGTCTTCTCACCCTCTGCCGCTGTTGGCGGCGGGCTTCCCGACCCTGCGCTCTTTGCTTCTTCTTTCTTCTCTGGCTCTCCGGCCGCGTCTTCGGCCGTGATGTCGGTGTCCTTGTCGGCCACGACTTTCGGCTTCACAGTGTCAAGCTGTTGCCGTTCTTTCCTCTTCTTCGCATGGGCTTCAAGTCTCGCTTGCCCAGCTTCATCCTTTTCCATTGCTTCGGTGATCCTTGCTCTGCACGCCTCTGTGCGCGGCAAGGTCGTCCTCTTGTCTTCCAAGATGCACCTGCATCCTGGGCAGCCTTCTGTGGCTCCATGCTTGTGCACATCCTCTCTCCTCATGTACACTCGCCTCTGCTGTGGTGGCGCCACTCGTTCCTCCTTGGGGTGGTACCACAAGGCGCTCTTCGAGCATCAGCTGCTCACCGGCAGGCCTTGCCGCGGAATGTTCCCACGGCAAGCCCCGCAAAAGGTCCCAATCACTTGGGCCCCAGCGGTCGGCTGAACTCAGCCGCCGGATTCCTGTGCCTCTGCGCACGCCATCGGCCGTCATCGCCAAAATGGATCCTGTTCGGCCGTGGTGCCCTACATAGCGTCCTTCTTTCAGGATGCGAACTCCCTCGCCTACTTCTCTAAAGTATAGGCGTTCACCAAAAGCTATGGCAGGTTTTCGCCATTGCTTTCCACATCTTCTGGCCTCAGGCGTTCTGCCATCTTGACCTTTCTTGTACCTGCTCAACAGGTCTCCCGCCTGCCTTGGCAGCCATGCCAATGCAGGATCATCATCTTTAAGCTCTTTGCCGAGCTTCTCTTCCAACGCGCTGCGGAGGACTCGTACTTGACGTTTGACCTCCTTGCAGGCGTTCTCTGCCAGGCCATTCGCTTGATGGTCTCCTACTGGCGACTCTTCCGAAACCCAGTCTATGCCGGTTTCTTTCGCTGCTGCCTCTTTCAAGGCTACCACGGATGGCTCACCATCCGACTTGAGAACCACCTTGCGGTGTCCCAAGTTCTTCAAGAAGTTCGCCGCGAACTTCACTGCATACGGCGTCGCTCCCTTCGAGTCCACGAAGGTCGCCGCTAAGGACTGTGTCCTCTCATCCTTCACTACGAGGATCGGCTTCACTCGCTCGTCCTCCACACCGCCCCGTGACATGAACGTATAGTCCATTGCCACTGTGGGCACAAGGCTCTTGGCCTTCTCTTCCTCGGACCTCGTCCGATGTGGCTGTCCCAAAGCCCGTCCAGCAATGCAATGCCGGCACCAACTTCGATACTGCACATGGCCTGTCGCCTCGTGCTCTTCGATCTCAGCCGGAGTTGGGTCCTCCGGTGCTCTTATCTGGATGCGTTTCTCAACCTCATCAACTAATTCCAACTCATCATCCTCTTCTCGCCCCTCTGGACCAGGTCGGCCTGAATCCATAGAGGCATCTCCTCTTTCTCCTGCGGCGTTCAACTCTGCGATGCCACAGCATTCCTTTGTCGGTTTATACCCTGGCTTCCTCAAGTAGAAGTTGTACACTCCCTGTTCCTGATATACAGGGATCCAACTCCGCTGCTCTGCAGCGTTCGCTTTCCCCAGGATCGCCTGGACAGCCTTTCCAACTTTGGACCGGACCCTTGCGGAATCAAGTTTCCGCCATTTGCATCAAGAACTGCAATCCTTCCAAAGCCTAAGCATTTAAAGAGTTTGCCTTGGAATGGGGGTCTCAAAATGAATGGGGGTCTCAGACCTTCATGCGGTGTTGCCCTGTGCTTTTTCCCTTTTTCTCCCCTGTGGGAAGAGTTCTGTCATGCGGTTGCAGAGATGGTGAGCGTGTCTAAAGAAAGCGGGACCACTTGGTGGCCTATGGGCAGAGTTCTGTCATGTGGCTAGAGATGGTGAGCGCGTCACGCTTACTTACTGAAGTCTAAGATAGCCAGGCCACTTGGTGGGCAGAGTTCTGTCGCGCCATTGCAGTTGGTGAGCGTGTCGCGCTTACTATTGTCTAAAGAACGCCGGGCCACTTCCAGTCAACATCACGCCTGTTTTCCTGAGCGCCCGCAGCTGGTTTTAGTGATATCAGGGCCGGGCGGTGTGTGAAGTGTGGGCGGACAAAGATGGGAGGGCTACAGGCACGCAAGCCGTGGCGCGCAACAATGGCTCAGGCAATTATTTTTTGTTCTGGCACCGGCGCGCCATCTCCGCTACCATTTTACACTGACTTGATCGCGTTCTGGTAGTCAGGAGGCACGGTCAACAATGCGCGACGGCATATGTCAACACACTCCAGGATCACCTTGAGCCACTTGAGCCATCCTAAAGCTAATTATTTATATAATCTGAAAACTCAATATTTTACACTGCAACCATTTTGTGTGCGCGGCGCCAACAAAATTTGTTAAATGTAAATGTGAAAAGTTGTTTGCTGTTTTCTACAAAGATCCCTTGGTAAGTCTTAACCGTTGGTAGCAACAGTTCCTATTTGTGACGTGGAGACACGTGAAAATCCGATTCGCAAGTCACAGGCGGCTGTCCAGCAACAATACACTGCCCTTTTTCTCACACACACCCCGCATCAAGCCGTCGTCTTCACACCGGACCATTTCAGTCCACATTCTCCGGTGCATCTTCTTCACGTTGTTCCTCTTCCTCCCCTTCGGGCTCCATATCATCATCATCGCCCGCGCCATCATCTGCCGCTGCCCCTGCATCCGGAGCCGCCGGATTAGTAGCTGAAGCAGCCCGGCCACATCCTAGGTGAGATTTTTAAAAGATTGCGCAATCCTTTAGCGACGCAACTGTGAACAGTGAAGGCTGCCCTGCCTTCCACCCGGATCTGGCTGGTCTCTGAAACAGGGATCTGGCTTTTCAAAGCCGCCTTGACAAGCTTCAGGCTTTCGGCAACTTTAATTTGGACACCTTGTTCAACAAAAAGAAACAAGGCTGAGTGAATCGCAGCCATATCCTTGCAGTAGTCGATAGTTTGCCCCGCTTCAAGCTGCGCTTTCACAAGTTCCTGGGCAGAGATCACCCTGGCTGATGAAAAACAAAAAATGGAACTTTTCAACTGATTCAATGGTAATGGAATGCAATGAACGTTGCACCAATCAAAACTTGAAGTGTGAGCCAACAGATAAGCCCTGCGCGCAGGCATCCTTGCAGCGGTCTGTCGGAAGGTATTTGCCCCCAAGACTGACCACTTGACGCTCACCAACTTTCAAAAAAAAACACGTTTTGAGCTTTGTAGTAACCCATGTGGACTTTCTGCCCACCAGCGCTCTCATCACCTGACACGCAACAGGGCCAACAAGTGAATCAAACCTATCGCACATACGTTTGTCACCTGACTTTTCAAACCTGCCTGCCAAAGCGGCTGCAGGGCGTTTGCGGACAGCAGTCTTTGGTTTGGGTTCCGGCTTGGGTTTCGGGGCGCTCTTAGGCTTGGGTGGGATCGTTGGGGCGCTCTTTGGGGCGCTCTTGCTCTTGGGAGTAGTCCTCAGGGCAGGCTTGCGCTTTGCATTCGGCTCAACCTCAGCGCTTGCTGGTTTGCTACCTTCCGCTTTTGCCTTGGCCTTGACCTGCGGTGCTGGGACTTCCTGGTCAGCGGCCTTTGCTTGTTTTTTCTTAGGGAGAGTCTTCTGTTTGGGGGTGGGCACCGTCTTCGGCACTGCTGGCGCTGCCTTGGCCTCCTAGAGACTGTCATATTGCCACAGCAGCGAACAGCAGTCACATCAGATGCGACTGCTGGTCGCTAATCAAAGACATTCTCAACACAAGCTATGACTTAGTCTTGCATAGAGATTAAATCGCAATACGCAACGTCGCCTGTCCTCCTCTGAACCACTCAAAGTGGCCACATTCGGCAGCTGCTGCGAATCATCAGCACCGTCCATGATCGGGAAACACACCAGGCCGAAGGTTCAAAGAAATATCGAAGCTCTCAGCAGGCTTTAGGAAAAACACGCCGGCGCATTCATTCTTAACTGACCGAATCAAGGTTGCCACGTGGCACTTGACCTTAACACTGTCATTTTGTTTTCCGCACCAACTCTACGTATTGAACTGCCAGCAGGACTGCTTGAGGTTTGCCAGCCCTCACTTCCATTGGTCACATCTTGCAGTGAACCCTCAGACGCGATGTTTCTTTTGTCTTTTTCAAGGGTTTGAGCAAAAACCACAAACAAGCAAATGTATATTAACCAGGAATCTTTGTGTGTTTAGTGAAATGTATATTGCTTTGCATACCATGCAACCAAAGGGCTCACCGCATCAATCTACAAAATCTACACAGCGTTGCCTCGATGGGCTAAGGTGAGGGCTTGTTCAAAAGAAGGCTGTCACACCACCAACAATGATGTCAGACTGACTGGCAATCACAACCGCTGGATTGAGCCCTCTAGCCCAACAAAACTGGCGTAGCCACACCGCGGCTAGCTGCTAGCTGGGAGCAGGCATCACAGCTTCACAAACGTGGACGGCGGCACTCGGATTGCGGCGGTCAAGTAGAACTTCGGTTTCAAAGGCACGACTTTTGGAATGGAGCCACCAGTTTGAATCTGAACCTGGCAGCGCCGGACGGTGTAGAACACGGGGATACATGCTGCACGCTGCAACAGCCGGAAACAATCCAACGTGCCCCACCCCAATCCGACTCTAACTGACACACTGTCAAACAGCTAAGGGGACAGGTTGAGAACTCGGAGGCACCTCCCACACCAGCCCTGCATGTTTGCAGGCATCCTGTCGAATCACATGCTGGAAGTTCCCTGCATAGATCGCACCAAGGGAGGCAGGCTTGTGATTCTCTGCATCCACGTTGGTCAAACTGTTGGGCTTGAAACAATTGCATTTCCCCGAGTCTGTAGGGCGAACGTTGTACCGATAAGGCACTGGGACTTTCACTTCCGATCCGTTCTCAGTAACCTGAGTTCAAGAGAAACAAAGAATCACAAAATCCCAATTGCGAAAGAAGTTACTGTTACTGTTGACTGTACGCTGAGAAAAGAAACGGTCTGCATCTTCGGCTCGATGTCATGATCCCAAATGGAAAACTCCGCAATGCCCCTTTCCCTTGCCATCTTGCAAAGGAAACTGGACAAAGGCATGGCAACCTTCTCGTACGCAACAAGAGTCATGTCACTCGTCAGGCGCCAAGGTAAAACGGTTGCCTCCTGATGCCCAGTTCCTGCAATCAACCACAGGCATAAACTAAAGGCGGGCGCTATGTGTCCCCAAACTTGTTTTACCTCCGTTGGGAAATACAACAAAATCTTGCGCGGTTGCGCTGCGGCGCCACGGACAATCTGCACTTGAAAAGCGCCGACGTTGAATCCAAAAATCTCACCAGCTTGGAGAACCATCTCATCCGGCGTGAAGTTCCCCAAGAACAGGCCAAAAGATTTGGACACCAGAATGGATGGCTTTTGTGGCCTGCCTGGACACAGCGCAAGCCTCATTCAACCAGACAGGCCAAACATGTCCCCCCCCCCCAAACAATCCAACAACTATCATTGAACAGCACTACAGTAAGCAAAGCTGAGACGCCGCTCTTCTGCAAAGCTCTCAGATGGAATTTTCATCAGGTCAACTTCGCGAGTGAGGTCAAGGACATCGGTTCCAGTAAAGTCTGGCGAACCAGTGGCGCGAGTAGTGACGGTGGTCGGACCTTTGGAAGTTGGAGGCGGCGGCTGGTGGGCAGCGTTAGGTTCTGGCCACTTCTTCTTGAGATCCTTGTCAAAGTCCATGACAGCATTGAACTGCTCTGTCCCACGTGCGAATTTGTCCAACACAGAGCTTGGCAACCTCGGGCGACCCCCTTCCCAAAGAAGGAGGCAAAGATTCGGGTCAGCAGTTGCCTCATGAGGTCGTGTTTTCGATGGTGCCACATTTGAGCCATCCCACCATGTATAGACAGATTCCTCCACCATTTGGACCACGTCCTTGTGCTGATCACGAATGAATGCGATGTATCTCAAGTTCTTCCACTTGTCTTCCAGCTTCTGCTTCACCACGGCGCGACCAAACTCCAGCCACCTGCACCAGAAGTATGTTCGACTTGCTTTAGAAAAACCCGAACTACCACCGTCAAATTTTCTTTGTCTTTCACACGTCGCACCTGTTGGGCATCAAGTCCACAACTATGATCTCGTCCTTCTGCTCGAGGGTGAGGCCAGAAATATATGCATCAAGAATGCTGATGTGCGCAGCCAGACCTTTCCTAAGCCAAACAATACTATACAGGCCCTGAAAGGACGACCAAAAAAGCCAAACACTCACGCCCCATGTCACAAAACATGCTACGCCACCATACGGCAAGTGTCTGTTCCGCTCTTGCACTTGGGCTTGGTCGCGAGTCGGGGTCGTAGCCAACCATATCACACACCCTCACCAGGGCAAGTGGGCCGATCACTTGAGGAAATTCCCACTGGCACGCTCTAGGCTCCTGCGCCAAAACCTAGCCATTCTGAATGCCACCTCGACGGTCTTGCGCAGTAGAATCCGACGGGCGTGTGAATTGCAAGACCACGGAATTGGACGTGTCAAGCCGCGCACTGATGAAGCCATCTTCAATCTTCCTCCGATGGGTCACAAGAGCGGTAGTGTTGGTGTTGCTCTGCGCAATGGGGAGTTGCACATGCCCAACGTTCTTGCTGCCACTCATCGCCAGGACGGTGGACATGGCTTGCGTGGTGCTGCTCAACACTTTGGCGTTCGACGGGAAAATGGTCGCGTCCATCAAAGCCAACATGTACCTGGCACGCCAACAAAAAACAACACCAGGTCCACAATTTTTCCGAAACCCAAATTGTGAAAAACTCAACAAAACAATTTTGTGAACGGGAAGCATTCACTGGTAATTTTCCATGGACTCATTCTTCACTGATGATACTGAAAGGACAATTGGCGACCTTTTGTGGCGAGGCTCGTCTCGCCACCATCTGGCTTCTCCCCCACAAATTTCATCAAGTCTCGCACGGCCGATGACATAGTGTCTTCCGTCTCAACCAGGTGAGCATTCTTCGTCATCCACTGCCGAGTAAAATTTTGGCCCTTCCTGGCATGAGACACCAACCCGTGAACAACAAGACAACCTTTTCAAACAAAAAAGGATAGCTCCTGGCTCCTGATCTTGAACGCTATTGTTGATTCTTGCGCCGGACCCAGAACATCCCAGAACCCCGCAGAGCCAGGCTCATGAAAAGTGCTTTGGCGCTACAGGCAATACTCCCCCTCTCCAAAAACTTCTTTTATCAACACACGGCGTCCTCCAAAGACTCTGTTTGGGATCACGACTCATGACCAAGCCCGCCAAACTGTGATTTGATGGCCAAGTATCTGCTGTCTGTTCTGCAAGTAGCGCATGTCCAGCGCAGCCTCCCGCGCCTCACGATCCTTCGAGGGAAGAAAGTCCTTCTCAAGGACCTGCATGTCTTGTTTGTACTTCAACTCGATCTGCGCAAAGGTAGCAGCCGCAACCTTGTCTGCTAGCTCCCTGTCTCGAGCTTCAAGTTCTTGGGCTTCCCGCTGCTGGATGTCGCCCAAAACACTCCTGCCAGCAATGACCTTAAATGTCTACATTTAATTGTTACTACTTGTCATTCAAGCCCCAAACAATACCAATTTTGTGCCCCAAGCCTGAGAAATCCAACATCCTCAAGATTAAGCGGCGGCGCAGAAGACTCGAGCGTCTGCAAAATCTCCACATCGAGAAATCCAGAGAGGAATTGTTCTCTCAATCCTGCCGCAGAAGAGTCGTAGTCCGCTTTCGGAATCTTCCGCTGCAACACAGACATGAAATGCAGGTACCCGGCGCAGGCACTGTGCAAGGTGGTGGTGTCCTTCACGTTCCATGGTTTGCGGAGGGATGGCGGCAGCTTGTCCCAATCCAGGATCATGCGTTGAATCAGCAGCAATGCCTTGCAGCAAACAAACTGAAAATCCAAAACCAAAGCTTTTCTTTCCTTGCTGAACACAATATCAATATTATGTTGGTGTTGTCCGATTCAACAAGTCGGAAAACGTCACGGTCTCAAATCAGCCCAGGAGCCACCTCGCAATCACTGGCGTCTGGATTTGTCAGGGGCCCTTCCCACAATGACAGGGGGCCGGTTCCAGAAGTGAAGGCAATAGAGAATACCTGCCTCGCTATGGTTTCGTGTAAGAGGAAGGGCCTCATCCCTCGTGGGCGGACGGCATTTTTCAATGCCTCGACCACTGGGCCTGGTACATGGTTGACCAACTGAAAGATAGCCTGCGACTCGTTCTTTCCAATGCCAAACGCTTTCGCAAGTTGGCCCGCGGTCTGCCACGCCTAGCCGCGCGCCAAATCTTGAAATGCAAGTTGCGCTTCAACATAAACAGACACAGCAGTTTGAAGCCCGAAAAAACCAAACAAAGCCCTCACTGAGGAGAGAAGTGAGCAGAAAGATTTTTAAACTTGTTTTTCGAAGTTAAAAATATCTTTTAAAACTAGGGCTAGCCACCTCAGACGCTTCCTTCTCCACACCAGCCCGTGTCAGGACTTGCATTTGTCGGATGAAATTGAAGCAGTGAGGGCTTTTGCGGGTAGCAGTGCTTGACATGCTGATGCCTCTCAGGCGTTCAGAGCAAAACACCGGTTCAAACAGAGCAACACCTATTACTGTAGGTACTGCGCCCACTCAATTCCAGCCTCGTGCGGTGAGGACTTGGTCTTGAACATGGTTGTAGTCTCCAACGGTGGTGTAGACTGCTCGCATGGATTCCTGCAAGCCATGACAGCTTTCCAACATTGAGTTAAGAGGCTCTGGACATGAGTCTAGGTTGGAACGGCTCTGCCACCCAACGCACTGCGTTCGTCAAGCACATCCCCTCAACAATGTTGCCTTGTAGTTCTCCGAGACTTCGTCCAAAATGTTGAGGCAGCGAACGGCTTCTGCCACTATGAGAGCTGTCACAGACCTTCGGTAGCCCTTCACATAGGCTACAGAGAAAGGTGGCAGAAGATCTCCTGCGCGTTGCAGACTTGACACTTGGTGATTTCTGCTCAAATTAGGCGTGACAAAAGTCATAGTAGCGGGAGGACTTGGTGCTCTTTTTTGTCGTGGCCCAAGGCTAAGAAAATGTGAAATTTGACTGAACAAAACAGAGTTTGAACAAACAAACTTGTAAATGTTTGAAAACCCGGGCCAGCATCTGGCAAGCATGGGAGATCGGTGTAAGTACTCTCCAGGAAGGAGGAGTCCAACTTGGATACAATGGCTAGTCGCTCCACTCCAGCCATGTCAGAGTTTGTCTTGAACCTGGGGCGCGTCGATTTGGCGGCCAACTTCTTGGGACGGGGCGTCGGTCACGGCAATATAGAAATACACGCGCCAATCGAACCTAAAAACATGTGAATACCCACCTCTGAGATTGTCTTCATAACTGTACTTCATCGTATCAGCAAAACAAATACGACAAGTAGCCCGTCACAAAGGTAAAGCTCTGACAGCAACAAAAGCTGCTCAGGTTCAATGAACCCGCTGAGGCCCATGTCAGACCTCCATGACAGGTTCCAGGGTCTGATGACTTGTGGTCCTCGAAGATCTCCAACACCAGCATACGTCAGCCTGCCAGCAAAGCAAAGCAAAGACAAGCACAGCAAAGCTGTCAGCCTGATTTCGAAATGCACAGCAAAGCTGTCACCCGTGGTCAGCCTGTCGTCGCAAGGGAAAGCTTGATCAAGCCACTGAGCGAATTCCAGCTTGGAAGCCTCCAACGATCAATCGAGAATTCTAAGCGCCACTAAATTCAAAGAAAACACATCGAAGTTCCTCGGTGGCATACTTCGCGTTGAAGTAGAGATCCGGTCCACCAATCTTCACCACATTGTCGCGCAACCTCGTTGGGAAGTATGACGAGAACATATTCCGAGGGTGTGAAAAAGCCTCCAGCGGTGACCTTTCAGTTTTCTGTGGTTAAATAGATGCGAGCAACCAGTTTGTGACTTTCTTCACAACACTCTCCGCGGCTGTGACATCCCCGAGACTGGCACTGCTGTTCAACTTCAGAAACTTCAGCTGCGCCTGACCCTGCCCTGGCTGGTTTCCGAAAGACCTCCTTTTGCTGGGCGGCATGGGCAAGGAGTGCTCCTGTCCTCTAGACTCTAGACTAGATCCGCCTGCAAAATATACAGCAGCAAGCGACAACAAGAGTATCTTAGTTTTCAAAAGTATCAGGAACGCAGGCCGGTAGAATACCCACAACGCATATAAACCCTCTATAATAACCTACATCAATGTATATATCACACATAGTGAAAGGACTAGATGCATAGCTGAGCATCAATGATCAACAGGCAAAGAACTGCCACATACTGATTTTCAATGACAACGCACACGCTCCGGGATTCCCTCTACAAGGGGTAGGGCCATTGCCGCCCTCTCACACCATCACCTGGCGCGAGCAGGCTTACAAACAGAATGCGACACTACCTCCCCGTAGAAAAATGAATCGCGCACTCGTTCAAGTCTATTCTGTCCCTCATTTTTTTGAGAGCCTGGGCGCAATTAGCTGCGCTGGCCTTTGCTTAAGGTCCCAGCCGTGCCCAAACAATCCGCCCCGGCTTAGATGGCAAAACTACTGGCTTCTCATATTCCACCGCATCCTTGAACTCCCACGCAAACACTTCGTCGTAAGTTGCCAATACCGGGAAGTCTGCAACGCTGGAAATCTGATGTTTGTGAAGATGCTCTGGCAAGAAAAGATAGTTTTCTGGACAGCTTTGGGGAGGAGCAACAAAGCCAAGTTGTTTCTCCGCAACCATGAAGCAGTCGTTGAAAGTAACCTCTCCAAGCACCAGCGACTGCCCTGTCGGGGATGTTTTTGCTGTGCGTGCGATTCCAATTCGTTGGCCAATCTTGTGGCACCGAGCCCCCCGAATCTCCCATGTTTTGTTGTTCCGCAGGATACGTATACACCACTCGTAGTCCACCAGCAAGACCGATGTTGGAGGCACAGCCATGGCTATGGCCACCTACTGGTTAAAACTGTAAAAACATGTTCGTGGTTTTTGTTTACAAACTAACATTGAAGTGCTTTTGGTTGGATGTCAAAATGAAAACCTTAACATCTCAGCGCGTGTAGAGAGCAAGTCATTGACAAAAATGTGCGAGAAAGGTGTGCTTTGAGGAATCCAAAGACGTGATTGTCAAGTGCTGAGTTGTAAAGAGAGCATCGCAAAGACCGTGGGAATGCACCCAAATATAGAACAACAAAATCCAACACTCGGGGCACAACCACGTAAGAGGGCATTGGGTGATGGATCCGAGGTCGGATCCATCTCCGATGCTGGGCCCACTTGGAATCTCGCCAAACTTGATTCCCAACCCTCCCTCCCCCCCCAATCCGTCCCTGTGGTTGAGTGATGGATCCGAGGTCGGATCCATCACTCGTTGACCTGTTCTACTGGGGGCCCAACCAGTGTTGTTTTCAATAACTTGCCCCCTAAATGTCCATGCCGCACCTAAATTTTTAAACGTTTAGGGTTTAGGGTTTGACGTTTAGGGTTTAGGGTTTTTCCAAAACGTTTAAGTTTTTAGAGTTTAGACAACTTATATCCATGGCTTTTGAAAAGAAGGTTCAACCTATGAGATGAGAAGGACTCAGAAGGGGCAACCCTGTTTCAAGCCATTGTCCACACCCCGTCCCAAGCCTTGCAAGGTGAGTGATCCGCGCCATTCGGGCAACCTGCCCAAACCGTTTTGTTGGAACTGTGCCAAACTAAGGACGAGCTGTTATCTCGCAGACTCATCTGGATCGCACGCATGAGCTTCCACACTGACAGGTATTTCCCTTTGAATTTGACGTTGCGTCACAGCCTATCCCACACACCTGCATTGCACAACATGACATCAACGCAACAGTTTTGTTGTAAATAGCGACGTTGGCATGAACCTTTGGTTGCTCAGCAGGCTGTGTCGGGCACTGGCAGCACGAACCAAATTGCTAATTGTAGCATCAGACGCGGGCTGACGCTGGAAACCTCTGTGTAATGGAAAGGTTACACCACTGGAAACATGGAACAAGAATTCAACGCACAAAATTTCACAATCACACTACCGCAGTTCTGCCCGCATCAACTGTGCAAGGACCGTCATAGCCAAAAAGGCTTGTTGTGGCACCACAACGTTTCCTAGTGTTTGAAAGCGAGACTTGTAGTCATGGGGCATCTCATTTGTTAGCCACCTCTCAAGCACCACTGCACTCTCCTGGTTCCAAGGGCGTTCGGCCCAGAAGCTGCAGGAAGGGAAAGCGTCCTGCAAGCTGCGAGGAAAGGTTCACCCGCCCCAAAACGGATTACCCTGATACAACCGTTGCCAGCTCAAACTCTTTGCGTGGGGAGGGGTGCGTGCGCATGACCTTTGGCGAACAAACCTACGTTTCTCATCGCTAAGCAAAGCGCCTCGCCAAGCGAGGTGAAGAACTGCCACATTGTTTAGACAACCACTGACTCAAGGTTTTTGATTCACAACCACACGAATTTGATCGAAAAGGTGTGGCTCCAGGGCCAACAAAAACCTGGTTTCCATCAACATCCTCTCCACTTTTGTGGCCTCTGAGAACCATGCTGAACCAGCGCCGCAGCGAATCGCAAGGATGAACACACGGGAGCGGCCAGCCTTGAAGCCAAAAAGTTAACACTGACTGTCAGGCACGCTTTAAGAGCTCCAAGCCCCCAACTGCAAGACCAACGTTGCATAGCTGGTTGGAGGTCCAAAACATGTGAAGGCCTCGTTCATGGCACGCCTTCAGCGGAACCCATCTCACATTCTCCAAGACAGAGGTCAAGAGGCCACAAAATAATTAGGGCCAACTACACCAGAGTTGGCCCTATTTATCTTTGCGGTCTCTTGACCCCTCTTGGTTGGTTGCAGGGGTCAAATTCGACACGTTCTGCTAGTTTTACCCTTTTTGGCTAACACTTAGAACAACACACAGACACAGCCACAGCAGCTACAAAATTACCCCGCGTCTAAATCACACACGATGATAAAAACAACCACATCTCATAGATCCGGCCCAGCCTTGGCAATCCGGCACCACATTCTTCTGCAATTCTCTTGGCCACTGATCAGCGCCGCAACATTCTTCAAAAAAAGGGCTTCCCTCAGCTCCAGTCCAAAGGCAAAACAGACTGTTCCGCTAACAGGCCAACAAAACAAGGTTCAGGAGAATAAGCCGCGGACGCCTCAGGGAGCCGGTCAAATGCATTGAACGCTTCATCCACCAAACTACTGCGAGCGCCATCCATCCCAGCTTGAGCGCCTGCTGCACTTATATCCTGGCTGCGCTGCGCACACAGGTGAGTTCCGATGACATTGATTTAGCGAGAAACGAACTCTTAAGTCGCACAAGCGCACCATTTGTCCATAGAAAAAACACAAAAATTTGTCGCTTTCCGATTTCCAGCCTGGCAAGGAAATCCTGCGATGACAGCCTTTGCCCTTGAAGCATGGATCGAAGGTTGGTAACCACGAACGTCCGACGCAATTTCGCACCGAGGAAGAGTATTATCTCGCATTCTTGCATAAAGAACTGAGCGGGCATAGTCATCAGCCTCAACCTGAATCTCAAAATCTTTGGTGGAAACTTTCTTTAACTTAATTAGTCAAAAGTTTCGGGCGTTTGCTGTGACTTGAGGCCGTCACAAACTCCACCGTCTTAAACCACCTTGCATTTACGCACGCCACACACGACTCTCAGCATCGCTTGCGAAGAGACATTCTGAGCTGAGTTTGTGCATAGCCACAACAACCAACACACACACGCTGCAGTAATGATTTTCACATCAGGCAGGCATGTCTTGAAAGTGTTGAACCTGTGGAATCCGTGCGCGAAGGCATGGTCACACTCTCAGAATTCTGTTTGCAATTCCCGTGGGCGTCGCTCCTGCTCCTCAGCCCATGCATCGGAGCCAACCCAGAACCAGCAAGGTAGTCAACACGCGCAAACCACTTTAAACAAAACGCGTAAGGGTGGCACCACTGCAGAACCAGCGGCTGGTTCTTCCCTGCCGCGCTTCTCCACTGCATTGACTCGCACCCACTGGCGGTCGTGCCAGTACCACCTGGCAAACACTAAGCTGGTTCACACAGTATGTATTCTTATAGCGGCGCACCAAAACACCCATTTCCCTACCACCACATCTCAGTTCTTCGTCCCAGCGACACAGAGCCACGCCACCGACACCAAACTTCGGACCCTTTCAGCACCCTTAGCTGCGCAAAATCCCAATCCACTTGGAGGGCGGTAGTTGAAGTCCACCATCCACTTCATAGAAGAAACGCTGCCAAGGCTCCTAATTTGATTGATACCGACAGTCCGAACCGTCTGCCACTTCTCTTCCATTGCCAAAAACTAGATACAATCACTGGCGGGGCGCTGGCTTGCATCGAGCCAATCTTTCGCAAGATCAAGTCTTCAAGGTCACCAAGCTGCTGCGAGAAAGGAATTTTGGCAGACAGCTGAGCGTCCGGCGGTGATAGCCCGACATCGAGGCCACCAACGCCCGCGAACAGGGAGATACACTCGATCTTCTCTTGTTCCTGCAATCATTCCAACATCAAGCATGGCAGCAACAGCGCCAACTACTGTAAATAGACACGCCAAGCCAAGATCTACTTGCAGTCCGGCAGGCCCACTTGGTTGAACACAGCAAGGGACGCACGGCTAACACAAGATTCCGCTGAAGTCCACCCAGTTGGGAGGCCTGAAACACTCTGAAGTGGACCAAAACCAAGCAAGGAAATCTTGTTGCCTTGGAAGTATTCTGCTACACCGAGGGAAAGAAACTTCCCTGGTAGCAATCCCAACTCACGGATTCGCTTTTGGTATGGCTCGGAAAGAGCCACTTGATTGGCTAGGTCCTGGGCCACCGCGGCAGATTCACTCCACTCAAATGCAATTTTCGACTCTGGCTTGGGCCATGAAATCTGACCCTCACAAATACTTTTTTGCAGTGTGCAAAAATAGTGGGTTATTGGTAACTTGTGGGGGTCAGGATTCATAGCCTAAGCCAAGTAAGGTGGGAAATTGGCTCGAAGCAGGTGGGCGCTGCGCTCAGGGTTGCACTGTTGACCCTCGAACACTCACATCTGACTGCGTCACAGTGTATGTCGAGCTGAAACAGCCTCAGGGAAAGGAGAACAATAGTCCAGTGGTTGGAGCGTGAAACATTAGGCCCTGACGCAAGGTGCTCCAAGCACGGATTGTTTTACAGCCAGAGAACCGCATCGCGCCATTCTCCTTCTTTCCTGGTCGGTTCTTGGAAACCTAGGCTCATGAAACTTACCCTAGTCTCTCCCATGCAAATGGAATAGATCTGTCTCGTGTCCTTACAGGGGAGTTGTCCTTGGGGGCATTCCGGTTCAAGTACGCATCAGCACTGGTGAGATCTGAGTTTGATACAATCTTGACGGTCAATCTTGGCGCTTTTGGAAGGTCAACCATTGAACGCTGGAGGTAACCATCCACGCTGATGTGGCCGTGGCGAGGCAACTGGCGGGACAAATGCAAGGGAGAAAATCACACGTTGGCAAGCCTGCCTTCAACTTTTTGGCGCTCGCCCTCATCGAATAGATGAACTTAATCCTGGAACGCACCTGGAAAAAGCTGACCACTTCAAACTTGTCTCCCCTCCCTGGATCTTGCCTGGTGCTTTTTCAGTGCCAACTTCTGAACGGCCTGGCAACTTGTGAAAACTGGCATTCCCGTCTTCACGAAGCAAGTTAGTCTTGAATGGTGAGAGCTTGTGGATTCAAGTCTGGTTCAAAGGAAAACGGATGGTGTCCAATCCAGCCTTAACCTTGCGCCTTGCCGGCTTTTCTTCCAGCTGCACCTTCTCCTCAAAGTCGTCATCGGACCTGAGTAGACAAGGAAGTCTTATATACTTGACAACAGCGAGCATCAACATCACTGCGTGGTTCACTGCTGCATCGCACGTCTAAAACGAAGCTGGCCGTAACCCCAAAGAAGTAACAACTTGGAAAGGGACATGCTGGTGATAGGCGGCAGGCACGCCATGAATTTCCAGGCCAGTTCCCCAAACAAATAAGCACTTTGGGCCACAGCTGAATGAGAAAGCGTAGGCTTGGGAAATCTTGACATTAATTGAATGAGGGGCACAATTGACCACAGCTCGCAGATTGATTGTTTGGCTTCGCCGCCAATGTTTGTTTGCGCGGGTAAAAACTCTCTTGCCTGGAGGGGCGAGCGTTAGAATCCTGGGAGTTTGATGAACCAACCTGCCCACGGGGACATCAATCCTGAATGTAAAAAAGGTTGGCTCACAAAGCACCGGAGGAAGTGATTGAAAGCAGAACTCAATGTCAAGTAAAAAGTCCAGGCCTATCGCCGAAACTTGCCAGAACCTGAATTGGAACGGACGGAAAGGTGAACAAAACTCGCGCGCGCAAGAAACCACCAAATCTGAGCGCCTGGCCTTAGCAGCGCGACGCATCAAACTTTAAGAAATGGTGACGGTCAAGCCAACTGTGCGTCTACGGCAGTTCTGTGGCCCGATCGTGCACGTGCAAGTGAAACAAGTAAGCAGGCTTGGCGAGGGGGAGGTGTGACTGGCAGCATTGACATTGACTAAATGACACGACTAGGTCCACGCTACGTACATGGTTTTTTACCCTTTGCTTCTTGGGCCCACTCTCTCTGCTATTCGTTTCTGCGCTGTCTCTGCAATCTTGAGGGCCTCATTCCATGGTATCCCTTGCCCCCAACATCTTGCAGCCATATCTAAAATGATCTTAGTCTCTGCCTTCTGCCTGTATGATGCAACGGCCCCAGCCACGCCCGCCGGTTTCATGAGCCTAAGTAAAAATTGCCCAAAAATAATCAAGACCAAGAGCAAAGAAAGATCAAACAACCGCTTCACACCCGCAATTGAAGCTAGGAAACTTCAATGGATTTTCTTTTGCCTCGAAATCTTCTGCAAGAGGGGCTGATCCGGATGGCCCTGGGCGCCTGCTGCTTGCGACACACCTGGGGCGTGACAATTGGCCAAATTTGGAAAATATCAAAATTAAATTTCATCACATAGTATTGATACCTTACGAATGACTCTCACCTGAAACTGTCACTCGGTTGAATTAAAGGCACGCTGATACATCCAAAAGTGGCGCCGGCATCAGCTGGTCGTTAACCCAAGCTTCTAGATCGTCTGCTGCCACACTCATGCCATACAAAGGGTTCCTCAAAATGGCAGTGTACTGGAGAATCTCTTGACGCTGTTTCTCGCCAATGTCCTTCTTCGTGCTGACGACTGCAGGGTTTGGGCTAAACTATGCATTGGGGCCTTCGCAACAAAAAGCGGAACACGCATTCTCACATGGACCAACAAACAGTTTGCTCTTACATGGCCTGCTGGCACACCCGATGGCAGGACCTTCAAGGCCCAGCTCTCGGGGAAATACAGCATGCATTGCTTGTACTCTTTGTCCTTCATCCACCTTTTAGTCCTCATCACACTAAACAACATGGTGACTCGTTGTCAACCTGTTTGCTGGTGACCCAGTGAACCTTTCTCAACGAAGTTCCTTCCAATCTGCGAAGAGAAACAATCAACCGTTGGTTTTTGTACCCTGTTGCCACTTTGGCCTCGCATATATGATTCATACTTCTTCCGCCAAGGCGCCGTAAAATCACATCGTTTGCATGGTACTCAGCTGGGGGCAAGTGGAAAAACTGGTCAGAGATGCGATCGGAGGTCAGGCCTTAGATGAAGCCCGATCAGTGCCAAGTGCCGAAGTCAAACAACAAACACAAAGGTCAGCTCGCTCTAGCCAAGTTGCCAACATCAGACCGTCTCTGCAGGTGGAACACGTGAGGAGCTCCTGGTCCTCCAATTCCGCGTAAATACACGGGGAAGGCAGTCGCAAGAAAGCCTTTCCTCAGTTCAGTCACAAGCTGCCAGGCACAAAATAAAATAATGCGCAAACAATGTAGGCCCTACAGTTACACAATCTTTGTGCAAATAATCGATCAATCTCTGGTTTGCTCCATCAGAAAAGCCAGACGGCGCGCAGGGGGCTCATGTGGAAAGTCTGCTTGTTGCAACCATGCGTTGATCACACGCACAAACTCTAACGGTGTTTGCACTGTCCTTGCACGAGTTGTGATGTACTTAGATAGTCGCACAAAAGCTTGATCCACGTCCTCATGTGAATGTCCTGAGCGGAGGCTGCGTAACGCAGCCTCCCTCAGGACTCCTCAGTCGGCTGGCGCTTGGTGACAGTTTTTCTACTTCCACGTAGTATCGAGAAAACAAAATACATGATTCCAATGACAAAATTAGTTTTTGAACTGCTGCGCGGGACCTTTAGCGACGAGCGAACCCAAAAACGTCAAGACCACGTTATTCTTGAGTTCGCGCGGAGTGTTGTCGCACTGGATGGACAATGAAACATCCTCCAACGATAGGCCCTCGTCCTTGACCAACCTTGTGAGAATGTACGCGATGAGTTCGCAGTGAGTTGTAGCGTCTTTGGGAATGTCAGGCCGTGTCACCGCGAAATATATACCGTGACCGTGAAGTATTGCTCCAATCACATGACAACGGGGGCGAGACCAGCTTGCTAGCTCCTTTGTTTTCACACATTGGCCTCTAGGCCATGAGAATTTGCTCTGGTCCATTCCGTCGATGATGACGCATAGCGCCAATGACCCAGACATTCTCGAGATTCCTCGACCCTGCCAGTACTGGAGTCTGTCCAGGTACTGGTGGTGCAGGTGCTGGTGGTACAATTCTTGTTGATGAAGCCGGGCCCGTGCATGATGCCCCAATGTGCGAATTAGCATTTTGTGCTTTACGCAGGTCGTGCACTCCGGGTGCTGCCTCACAGGTCTGAATACCAGGAAACTATAATCGCGTAGCCAGACCTAGGTGTTGCAACGAACCTGAAAACACTATCTCAAAGTAAATGTCCCGCACTGTCACACACTATGTAACCATTGAATCGCAAGAACCAAAAAATACTATTACGCAAAGTAGGTCGAGCGAGCGCCGCAAAGAATTAAGACAGGGGTCTTTCCAAAACGTCGGGAAACTTGCAGGTTTGCGCGAGCTGACGCACTGTCTCTTCTTGTACATTTCCCAGTAGTCTTTCATTTGACCAGGGGGCAAATATCGTTGTTCACATGGTCCCCCCGGCTCTGCGACCCTGTCAGGGTTTACCTGGACGCTGCGTTTGGTGTTCTTTTTCTTGCACTTGTTTCCAACTGGACTTGGAGTTGCTGCTGCTGTTGCTTCAGAGTATGGATCTGCGGTGTCCACATCTGGCTTCACAATTTCCAGACTGGTCTCTACATCAAAGGTGTCATCACGGAAGTCCGGTAATGTTTCTGCGATCGAGTTGTAGATCTCGGACAGGAATGAAAGAATGTCCGAACGACATGTAGCAACCTCAGCCTCGACGCCCGGTCGGTTTAAGTATCTCAAGTCCACCGGTGGAGCTGATGCCCCATCGTTCACTGCCTGTGTCACCCGGCTGAAACGCCTGGAGCCTCAGCACTAGACCCACAAGAAAACTAGTCAAAGTGAACATAGCACACAGAACTGAAAAGAAAAAAAGTAGAGCAAAGGCTCGACAAGAAAATATTATACAAAACAACGGCCACAAGAAATCGTATTCAATACCTTGGCAGCGGGACCAAGCCCATGCAATCTCTTCCACCCCTTCAAGCATACCCGCTCAGACAGGAAGACCCATTCGCCACTTTGCGAACTGTGCTTCTCCCGTATACGATCAAACACCTAGTTCCACAAGCAAAGCCACACCGTTGCGAAAAAACACTACTCAACCAATCGACATGTTGTCAACGCCTCCCAACGCAACCAAGCATCCATCTTGTCTTGGTCGGTTTTGTGGAGCTCATTCCAGCTCTGCCGAAATTGCAGCAATTCCACGAACTTGCTATCTTCTCTGAAGGGTTCAAAGCAATGTTTCTTGCACCCACACTTTTTCCCCAAAACTCCTCTCAACGTCGTTTCAAGGTCACAGGGCACAGTGCCCTCATCAGCCTTCCGTTTTTTCTTCCTCTCTCGAACTTTGGGGACCAGCGTATGCCCTTCATCCAACTCAGGACCAGCGCTGCTGCTGGAACTCAAGTCTTCGATGGCAGGCAACATTGCTTCTCAAAGGGCTGCCCATAAATTCTATGAACTGTTGTTCTGCGTCCGTTGTTTTCAAGAAAATAATATAGAGCTTATATATTGTACAACTTTAATACTTTATAGATTCAATACTCAACTGAATTGAAAAGATTCTGTTGAAAGTTATGGTAGTAGAATCTGCTGACCACGTACCGCGCACGGGTTGACTAAAGGTTTTAACTTAGTCTTGAACCCTTCAAAATGCGACTGGAGGGCTGCGAGTGCCATCAAAGCCCACCGTGAAACCGAAAGAATCCGCGCCGAAAAAGTCCAGGCAAGAGGGTTTAGTAAAATAAACCAGACTGTGTGAAAATAGGCACAGGGTTGCTCTCAGGTCTTCCTGCCCTAGGAACATCACTCTTGAAATCACCCTACCCCCAAAAAGCCACATGGTTTACTAACGCATATCAACTATGCCAATACGCGCAAACCACAGAACTCTGGTTTAAAATTAGTAAGGAGGAGCGGGCGGGTGGACGAAAGGAAGAAAGAAAAAGGGAAGCAACCTCTGACTCTCGTTTGAAAGTTACACAGCCCTGCGACCACATGGCAGAACTCTTGCCGGAAGCCAACCATTTGGGAGAGAGGGAGGGAACTGCAACATAAGTGACACGCTCACCATCTTAAGCCGCATGACAGAACTCTGCCCATAGGCCACCAAGTGGTCCCGCTTTCTTTAGACACGCTCACCATCTCTGCAACCACATGACAGAACTCTTCCCACAGGTGAGAAAAAGGGAAAATGCACAGGGCAACACCGCATGAAGGTCTGAGACCCCCATTCATTTTGAGACCCCCATTCCAAGGCAAACTCTTTATTTGGATGCTGAAATCAATGGCTTGTGAACATCAGCCATTGAACCTTTCACACGGCACTTGTTGCCGCTCTCGTCGAACCCTTCAAAGGTTCCAATGCCCTGACTGGGCACCAACTCTCCTGATGCAGTCTTGAATACAACTCCGTTGCCTTCACTGCCAACCACTCGGTCTTCCCAGCCATTCGGGATGGCTGTCTGGGCTGCTCCAGTGTCCAGGTTAAACTTCATCCATTCCTCGGCGGATGAGGTATCCGCCATTCCAATTCCACTCAAGTCTGCCATATGAGCATTCCGACATCAGCTTCCGGAGCTGGCTCAACGCCATCATCCGGATCGTCCATCTCTTCCATACTTCCTGCGGCTTTACCTTTGCCGCTTCGTCCACCTTTGCCTTTATTGCCTTTGCCACCTTTACCACTCTTGTCTCCTTTGCCTGAACCTGACCGCTTATCGCCTTTTCCTTCCGGCCCTTTCTTGCTCCAGCAATCGGCCGCTCGGTGTCCCTTCTTACCGCAATTATAGCAGGTGATATCTTGAGCCGGGTTTGAGCCTTTACTTGAGCCCCCTTTGCTTGAGCCTTTCTTCCCATCACCTTTGGCCTGCTTACCTTTTCCTTTACCTTTTCCTTTGACCAGGCTTGCGATCCATTGTCCGATCGAATCGACGTCCATGGGTTGAGGTCCTTGATAACTCGAACTCGATGAACCTGGTTTTGGAACAGATGATTTTGATGTGAGGGATGTTTCAATGACAAGTTCAATCTCCTGTTTGATCAACGAATAGGTTGTCAATCTACTCTTGTTCAACAAAAGATGTTTCTCCAAATCTGGGGGTACCAGCATCTCCAATGAAGCGGACTTGACGTCGTCCGATAGGGTCTCCCTGGTCCCTGCGGCACTCCTCCGAGACTCGTACCGCCTGATGAGCTCTTCGAGCTGTTCGATCGCTGGCCTCACCGCGGCCCATGTCTTGACTCTCTCCGGTTGGAGAATCGCTCGAAGTATATTGCGTTTCCGTCCCGAGGTTCGGGGATCCCAACGGCGGTGAACTCGCCGATATGCTTCAAACCCATTTGAAGCTCCTACCATCAAATCTTCTGTTTCACCTGAGGTTAGGGTCAGGAGCACGCGATGAATTTGATCAGCTTTATCCTCTAGATCATCGATAGCTGCTATGGTTCCAGTCCCAAACGCGGACTCCATAGCACTCAATTCAATCGCGTCTTCCTGCTCCAAAATATACTCCAGGACTTCAATGAACTCTCTCCCAAAAGTAGTTATGAACAGGTTGTCAATGCTCCTGGCCCATTTTCGAAAATCCCCTTCAACATTCCCAAAACTCTCGGGGCGTCCCAACCCTTTGGTGTCCATAAGGATTTGGGACTTCCTCCTATCTTCTTTCTTCTCAAGGCTTTTAGCCAATTCTCCTACGGCTGAGGCTAACATTGTCACCCCGCCTTGAGACTCCCTCAACACTTGATTCTCTTGCTCCAACCTCGTTTGGTTCTGTTGGAGTTGAAGTACCATATCCCTCAGCTGTTGGACCTGCTGTTCCATGGTTTCCTACTCTCAACCCTGCTGCTGCTGCCGCTCGCTCCTTTTCCAGCGGCAGTCGCGGGCGGTTCGCCCGGTCAAGGATCGGAAGGGTTTGGCACTCCACGGACTTCAACAGTAGTCCGTGTGAGTTCTTCCGGGCGACGACCCACAGTTGTGGCCTTCGCTTTAGCCGCTACTTTTGGTGCGGCTGACGGTTTGGCCTTCCCTTTTGGTCCGGCCTTCGATTTGGCCTTCTCTTTCGGCCCAGGTGTCAGGCTCACTTTTGGCGCCGCCTTTGTCTTGGCGGTGGATCCGAGGCGGGCTGGTCCCTTAAGACCGCGCCGCTTGATGTAGTCCTGAACCGCGGGCAACTGAGCCTGCCGTCGTTCGTCACAAGAACTACAAGCCTCGTTGGATCCTCTCTTTCCCTGTTCGTTGGGGGTCTTCCAGAGTTCGCGAATGGCGGCCAATGCAACGGTGCCCTTGAGGTTTCGTTGCTCACAAAGTTCGTCGGCCGCAAGCTTTCGCACTTGGAACGGGCTCTCTAATTTCCAATTTTCTATCGTCAATCGCTGGGCCCGCTCGTTGGCTAGGGCGACGATGCGGAGGTTCAACTCCAGTGCACGCCCCCAGACCGCCCGTCCCCGCTCGGTGTCGCGGGTTTGCGGTCGCTTAGCCGGCGGTGGCCCGTCCGGTGTTCGAGGCTGTCGAACTGGACTTGGTTGGCTCACCGACTCTTCTTCTTCGACCTCCTCCTCCTCGGCTTGATCAGCCGCTTCTGAGGTCTTCCTTTTCTTGGTCCGCTTCTCTTGATTGCGGATCCTCTGCTCTTCCCGCTCTTCTTTGATCTCTTGTGGAGTGCGCCCTTTTCCGAACTCTTTGATGCGCCTCCTCAGATCTTCTGTGATGACACCTTTCTTCTTCTGCAGCCTGACCAGGTCCTTGAGCCTCCGGTACTGAAGCGAGGTCTTGCTTCGAAGTCGAAATCCGGACTGTGGCTCTGGATGCTTCTTGACCTGTCCCCAAATATTCTTCTTCACCCTTCAAGGCGCTTTGGATCAACCTTGGCTTCAGTGTATTTGGTGTGAATGCCACGGACCTCCCAACCTGTTTTGACACCTTCTGGGGATGTGATGAAGTCGGCGATCACTCGGCCAGACGAAGGCTGTGCGGCTGGATCAGCCGCTTCAGCCTCTGGCTCTACTGTGGGGTCTTGTTCAGGCTTCTCTTCTTCTCCTCCTTTTGTCTCTTTTGTGGTCTCTTCTTCTTTTGTTTCCGCGGTTCCTTCAGCCGCTGATGTTGTTTCGGCAGTTCCTACAACCGCCGGAGTGGTGTTCGCGGCTGGTTCCGCCGCTGATGTGCCTGGCAAAGGCTCCTCCTCCTTTTCTTCCTTTCCACTCGGGGCGGCCGAATCGGCCGCTCCCGGGATTTCCTGATCCTCCTCCTCGGAGGTCTCTACCTTACTATGTCTCTCCTCCTTTATGCGCAGCGCTTGGTCCCTTTCACTTTCACCGGGCTCACGCGCTACCATGAAAACAGAGTTTCGACGTTTCGGAACGCCTTTTCTCCCTTGAGCCAAAACACGTCAAGAGTCACGTGTCTGCAGTACCCTAGCGGAGTATATATGGGCTGTACATACAAACAAATAAGCTACTAGAATTATAATTAAAATTAATAGCTTCTTGTTACTACCAGTAAGGCACTTGTTACTACTAGCGAGGCACTTGTTCCTAGTAGAATTCTAATTACTAGCAAAGGAATCTACTAGGACCCTTTCGCACGCGCGTGGGGGGTAGGACGCTAGTAGGAACAAGAAGCTACTAGTAACAAGTGCCACACTACTAGGAACAAGTGCCTTACTAGAGAAGGAGGAAGGCAGCTCACACAAAATCCAACAACCCTCACTAACAACGGTGGGGAAAAAACACCTCAAAAGATTTCTTACTCAATCTGGCGAAGTTCTTCGATCCATCTACCGCGCAAAGCTGCCACCCGCGCTCGGTGCCCCCGGAATTGGAGCTCCACAGAATCACGTCTGATGTCGTAGTGCCTTGTGGTGGCCTAAAATGAGGTCCACGCAAACTGTCACCACGAAAAATCAACTCATCACCGTAGTCTGTGCCAAAGTCCGTGAAATAGAGTGGCTCTTCGGGAGCCAGAATCTCACAGGATTCATCGTTCCCATAGTTGCTAGGATAGTTTGGGCTTGCCACGCAACTGCCTGTTGATGTACATGGACCAGAGAGAACGGCAAAGTTTTCACCACGTGTCCTGAGGTTGCCACTACAAACTTGTACGTAGCATTCCTCTGACAAATCGACATCTACATGTCCAGCCCGGGGAGCCCGGGGAGTGGAGACAACATGGGCGACAAAACATATCAAAAACCATCAAGTCACTCATTACACAAGCCATGAAGGCAGCGGGCACTGCAGCCTTGTCAAACGCGCTTCGCTGGTTCCCCTGAAACATCACTGGCGACAGTCTGGCCACGTTCCACACAAATAGAACTCCAACATGAATGTTTTTGCCACACCGTGCCGAAGGGCGTCGGAAGCACTTGGTCTATGTGACAAGGAAGCAGCGGCAGACAGTGCATGCAAATCACAGAAGCAAACAAGTGGAGACAAGGAAGCAGATCTTTGACAAGTAGAAACCCCTATAGCTTTCAGCGCTATCTTAGAACAAATGTATTCCTAATTTTAAAAATAAGAGGACGCCACCAGCTGGCACAACATCAGCAAATTGCAGTGTTGTTTGTGTGCATGTTTTTTCAGTATAAACACTGTGTTGCATCCATCAAGCAGTTTATATAAACATGTTACTTGCCACTGTCCCCTCTATACATGCATATATAACCTTTCTAGATCATCCCCAACCGACTCCACTTCGGACTTGAACCTTCGACCAGTGGTCTCATGAAGACATCAGTGCGTAGACATTGGTTTTCATGTCGGATTGGAAATTGCATCAAACATACATATTGCAGCAAGTAGGCATCTCGTACATGTCAAGGCATAGTTCACGGTTCATGGGCGCGCCGGGCCTGTCGATCCTGTGCTTGCATTGGATTTCGAGTGGAGGCTGGGGTGGGCTGCGTTTGTTTCAGTCGAGGTGTAATTTGATTCATTGAGAGTTTCACGGACAGTGGCACCTGGCAGTGAAATGCCCCAGCACTTGCATTGCCATTACTGCTTGCCTGATCGATCATGAACTCAGGGCCAGAAAAACATTCCATACGGCATACATGTACATCCACAAGCAAAGATATGCTCAAACAATCGCCAGCCTGCACCGGCCTTTTATGTACACGGGCAGACCCACATGGGCCCACGGTTTTGACCACCAGATCACTGGCCATGGCGGACCGGACGGAGGTCCGGACCAAATGTGGCTTGAACCAAGCGGTGCGGATGCACAACCAAGAATGCGGCGAGACTCATCTTGATACTTCTGCATTGAACATTGATGCAAGTGCATGGTTTGTTGCTTTTAGTTGTTCAATGTTTTTTCTGGTGTTCAATCTTAGGTTTGGCATCTTCCAGTCCAACAGCAAGGACATCAAATGATGCATTCCGGAAATCATGGGACAGCTGGCGCACGCCCTTCAACATGGCTTCTGTCTGGGTCTGTTTGGGGATTCATGGCTTCTGTTCCTCGTTCTTGTTCACATCATTGGCCTGCAGCTGTACATGTCTGACTTCATGCAGCTGCACATCATTTGGACCCCAAAAACCTGTTGCGACCATCATGGGATTAAGCCGTTTTGCCATTCAAATTGTCCATGTGTGCGGCCGTTTTGCATTCTCACTGCATCTCGCTGGAGTTGACCGCAGGACGAGCCTGGCATGGTGCAAGTTTCATCTCAGAAAGAGGCTCGAGACGCTCCAAGAGGGGAGAGTACGTGTTTTTCTCAAGCTTTCTCTGTATATTTTTGCTTCAAGCGTGGGTTTTTCCGAAGAACCGCAGAGGCCAGACTGGTCAGGTCATCACGGGCTTGTGACCAAAACGCGCCAGGCATTTCACAGCAGGATTCTTCCCACATGAAGAGGTCACGCAACGGCATGAAGAGGTCTTGAAGAATGGGCTCAAAAAGAAATGCGTTCTTTTTGCGTCCTTTTGCAACTGCAATTGGAACATGCGTCCTTTTGCATCAATTTGGAACTGAACAAAGTCTTGGTGCGAAAAAAAAAAAAAAAAAAAACGATCAAACGCCTTCCCATCGGAAGATGGACCGGCATTTTGCAGGTTTCAACGGTGATCGTTTGCTTTAGTTTCCTGCAGGAAGATGATGAGCAGACGCTGGAATGTGGGGATGCTGACGCTGCAAACGCACAAAACACGTGTACCCAAATCATCCGAGTCATGGTGCCAAGTGTGAAGGGCTCCTGAGTGCCTTTGAAAGCTCAATGATTGGCCTCAACTTTGACAGCGATCCACAGTCTCTTGGATACACATCATCGACACAGAGGGTTTTTGGCCGATCCGGTGTGTAGCTCCTCGCTGGATCGGAGAACTGGACAGGTCAGAGAAACCCGGTCAGAGCTCGACATCCAATGCCAAGGCTTTCCAATCTAGCTTCACAAGCTCAGGCTGAGGGCGCCATGATATGCGGCAGCGAACGAAGTTTCAGGCGGAACTTTCGGGCTCGTGCACGTGAGCCAGCGGGGCGGGGCCAGTGTCTAGTGTCTACTGCGGGGCCAAGGGAGTGCAGCAACGGGCTACAGGTGTCTTGGAAACACTAGGAAACATGCAGCCTTTTTGAGCCAAGGGTTGTTAGATAAAGATCTGTCTTTCTCCAATAACCGCTTGGTTCGGTGGAGAAAGCAAAATGTCTCAAGCCGCTGCAAGTTGGAAGAGCCTCTTATTTATGTGTATATTATATATATATATATATGGATTTTCCATGCAAAGCCCCCAATAACGTTTCCAGCGAGATGTGGAAGGGCGCAATGCAGGGAAAGAGGCGTGCTCAATGCTAAAACCATTGCTCAAACCTTGCTCCAGACAGCCCATGCACACCAAAACCATCCAAAACCATATAAATACTGTGGATATGACAAGTTCAAAGAACAGCCCCGAACGCAATTGTTTTCTTGCTTGACGCTGCGACCGGGCACTGTTCGGAGCGCTGTCAGACCTTCGGCTGACCACTGTGCAGCTACGCTTCCCCCTTTTCACATGACACCTTCCCAGCAACACATCCCTTGGCACACGCGCTACAGCGGGTGTGCCAAGGGATAACTGCACCCAAACGAGAAACAGCAACCCAAGAAGAGCAAAGTAGATGGCAACCAACAAACAGAATAGCACAAGTAGCAAAAACCAGCAAGTAGGCACAAACAGCGGACAACAAGCTGAGTAGAGCGTCGTGAAACGAGACGGTATCTCTGACCAGCATCTACACTGTCATCGCAGAAAGGAGGACGGCGCATCCCAAAGCGTTTGGGCGACGGCGCCGCCAACGCTTTAACGAAGTGATGGGTCAGCAGCACCGGGGCATTAGCCCTTTCCATTTTCACAACAAACAGGTTCAGTAGATAAGTTCTACACAACATTTGTGTGGCCTAGCAGACTCATGTGAAGTTTGGTTTGCAAAAGACAAGTGTCAACTCATAGGCAGTGCATATCTGCCACCCACTGAAAGTGTTGGCGACGTCGCAGTTCCACAGAATCATCAATGAAGTTGTAGCGCCCTGCGGCGGCCCAGCAGATCCAGAATAAGCCTGACCATCAAAGGTCAAGACGTCCCTGCCTTCCTCCGTGGCAAACTGCGTGAAATAGAGTGGCTCTTCGGGAGCTAGAATCTCACAGGATTCAGAGTTGCTGTAGTTGTTGGGATGGTTGGGGCTCGTCACGCAACCGCCTGTCGATGCACATGGACCAGACAGGACCATAAAGCCTCCGCCTGTCCTTAGGTCTCCAGTTTCCTACCAGTTCCCGACCGTAGCACCAACACCGTATTCACTCAAGAACCGGATCGCCCCGCGCGCCGGGTCTTTCCGTATGCGCCGAAAAGCGGAATAAGAAAGCCGACGGCGTCATAGGTGATGACGATTGGATAGATGGACTTGATGGCGTCATAGGTGATGATGTGCATGGGTTTTGGACGTGGCTGTAGTGAAGTATATGACGATGATGGTGGTGATGCTGCTGCTGTTGATGATGATGATGATGCTGGTGGTGATGCTGGTGGTGATGATATGCAGTACCAAATGCGGGTAAAGGCTTAGCAAACAGGCAAGGAGCTGCGGAGGCGAACACAAGTGACACGGAACTGGCATGGCACATGTTGGCCGGTGCGCCAAGTGGCGGCCCGCAAAACGCCAATCCGGTCATCGGAAGAAACGTAAAGGTGCTGAGACACGGACACATTTGTGTTGGAGCTTTTGGTGTGCCAGCTAGACCAAAAAAGTCCACGCACAAGCGAGATTGCATCAGATCATGTGAAGAGTTGCTCGGCTTGTGAATTTTGGCTGACAGTGCCATCAACATTTATGGCGTTAGTTGGCGAAAATCAAATGAGTGCCCCACCCTCCATTACCTTGGTATAAATATTGGCACGTGATTACATCGCCAGGCTTGACTTTCAGGGCGTTGTGCGTGATCGCTTTCTAGTGCAGAGTGCTCGTCAGTCTTTCATTTAATTGTATTTGTAAACTTGCAGCTGTGTAACTGCCCATCGTAGATGCTCATCTGCCTTCCAGGATCTTCCAGGTCTGGGAGAAGACGCAAGAGCACATGGACAAGAATGTCCGAGCTGCGATGTACTCCAGTGACGCTGCTTCCCATGCAGTGGAGATGTTGAATGGCATGAAGTTGGAGGCTGCTACTCATGCCACGCGCAGGCCTTGATCGCTATGTGCATTAAAACCATTCTGGGCAGGATGTTGGCTATTCAGCAACCGCCGAAAGCTTTGGCCAGATGGATCGCTCCCTGGGTCGAGGGCCAGATGTTCAGCGTAGGCCAGTGCGTATATTGCCCAGGTCATATCACGCAATCGGATTGGACACATTCAGATTGGACACTTCGCGCCGTGCCTAATGTGAATGATTTTGAGGCGATAGCGTCATCATCTTGAAGACAAAAGGGTTCTCCTATGGACAACAAGAAGAGTGAGTATCCCTGCTGCAACCAGGAAGCAGCGACGGAAACGTTTTTCAGTGACGAGTCTGAAGCGTTTTGATCAACTAGTCCAAGGTCCGAAAAGGGCAGAGACTCTGATGTTTTGATGTTGATTACGCGATCGCTGCTGGTTGCCTTCACTGCGCTTGCAGGACCGAAGACCGGTCACTGCTTGGCAACGTTAGGTTTTCAATCTGTAGTAGGTTGCCATTGTGTTCCTTTCCTTGGTGGGCAAATATCTATAAGATAGCCTTTGCGTAAAAGCTGACCCTGCTCTACCCCGCGTCGCTCACTTAACAGCATTAAGCAGCCATGAAGAATAGAAAAAGCACACATGTTCCAAGTCAAAAAGAGGAAGTATGTGTTGCTAGCCCCCTTGACAAAAGGAAAAGATCTAAAGTGACTATGACTATGAGTGAATGTTCCAGCGAAACATCACCGACATTGAAAACGTGTTGAGAGTTCACGTCTCCTGTTCTGCTCCCTCGTGTGGAAACGACTTTGGCATATGCTTGCAATATGTTGGCGAAACTGATTTTCGACGAGAGTGACGCACTTTGACCTTGATTTTCGACGCCACTTACACACTGTGGCAAATTCCAACTTGCTTGGCGCTCAAAAAGGGCGTCACAACTTTCAACGACGACGCATTACACACGTTGGCAACTTCCACCTTGATTGTCAATGACAGTTACATACTCCCCTGCTATTCGGACCGCATGGAACCCCTACCACCACGTCGGGTTGGCCTTCGGAAAATGGTCGAAACCACCACCGGTCAATTCTCGGGTTCCATGGGATCGCGCAAGCGGGAGAGTAGAGACACTTCCGACCGGTTCACACTTTGGCGACGCATATGACTGCAGAGATCTCAGCCTGCCGCTGCCTCAGTGCTGAAGATTGACGACCATCTTGAAGTTATAGATGTCAATCTGGTGAGTTGTGCAGGTGTCTTGAAATTTGTATCTACACACCTGATCACAGCTGTATCCAAACACCTATATTTCAATGTAGGTGAGTGTGTTGTCGCAGTTGCATCACCTGTATCTCCACACTGATGATGATGATGATGATGATGACGATGATTGGACAGTTGAAGGTGGCAGTCGTCCTTTGATTAAACAAAAAAAATACTTCGCAGGTGCTTTCAGGACAAACAGTCACAGAACTGTCACTCAGAATTTCACAGTGCGAGTTGACGAGTTGAGCTGTGTGAGTTGGCGGGGAGGAGGGCGGGCGCGGCAGGAGGAAGCGGACGCGGACTAGCACAGTTATAAAAGAATTGGGGAGTAGCACTAGCAGTAGCATGTGGGGAATCAACAAGAATGGGCCATAAAGATTGGGGAGAACTGAAGAGAAATATGGAATGAGACTTAAATATCTCCACACAAAATGACTCAAAATACTTGCTACTCATGAAGCTATAGCTCAATTCATCTGCAGTGCAAGCCCTCCACCCGCTGGCCGTGGCAGCTGCGTCAGACCTCCACAGAATCACCTCTGAAGTTGTAGCGCCCTGCCGCGGCCCAGCAGATCCAGAATAAGCCTGACCACCAAAGGTCAAGACATCCTTGCCTTCCTCCGTGGCAAACTGTGTGAAATAGAGTGGCTTCCTTGTAGCCAGAATCTCACAGGATTCAGAGTTCCCATAGTTGTGGGGATAGTTTGGGCTCGTCACGCAACCGCCGGTGGATGCACATGGACCAGAAAGAACCACAAAGTCCAGACCACCTGTCCTTAGGCCGCGAAGTCACAAACGTCTTGATTTCACAAATCATAGTCATGGGCACCTTATGGGGGAAAGTAGACAGACTCCGCGGTGCATAAAACGCAACAAATACATCAGAATTCTTGTTACTCACACCGCTGAAGTTCAATCCATCTGCAGTGCAAGCCCTCCACCCGCTGGCCGTGGCAGCTGCGTCAGACCTCCACAGAATCATTGCTGAAGTTGTAGCGCCCTGCGGCGGCCCAGCAGATCCAGAATAAGCCTGACCACCAAAGGTCAAGGCATCCTTGCCTTCTTCGGTGGCAAACTGCGTGAAATAGAGTGGCTCTTCGGGAGCTAGAATCTCACAGGATTCAGAGTTCCCATAGTTGTGGGGATGGTTGGGGCTCGTCACGCAACCGCCTGTCGATGCACATGGACCAGAGAGGACCATAAAGTTTTCGCGGTCTATGCTTCTCCTTGGATAGCTGGCTATGGATGGCCTGACAAATATGAGACGAATACACACCCTAGAATCCTGCAAACAAGTAAAATGTCTCGAGTCTCAAATCGCTGCCAAATTGCACCACCAGGCCATCAATGGCGATGTCACTGCTCCAGCTATACCCAGTTTTTGCAACGAAGCGAAATTTATTGACCGAACTCGGCACAATCACATGCGCATCCAACCATGCCCATCCTTGACTGCCAGATACTCGCCACAAAGTGGTGTACGTGGTGCCGTCGCGCCCTTCAAGAGAAAGTTCGCCCATGGTGCTCCCATACATGTGGTACCCAAAGCTAAACAGCCAGTTCGACTTCGCTGAAAAAGTTGCGCTGTATAGCCAGAAAGACTTCAGGGTTTGGGCAATGCCTGTATGCCTGTATAAACCTTCTAAATTGGACAGTTAAACAACCGGTCACTGGCACAGTCGCACCACTCCAAAAGGAACCCCACCTCCGGACCGGAAAAGACAAACGCACCCGGAGAAAACAGACGACCGAGACGGCGACCGCAAAAGGATGATGTCACTTCACATCACACAGAAGACATGTCATGTAACACGACTCCGGAATGGATCACCCCACTCCAAGCCTTGTAAGGGTTGTTGGCCGATCCTGAAGCCTCCACGTAGAGATAGTATGACCCTTCCTTTGCCCCACTTGGCCCAGTACCGGACGATGGCGTGGAGCCCCACCGGCGATACCAATACATAGGAGCATTCCCCCAAGTGCCGCCCGGATAATACCAGCCGCACCAATCGGTCGATTCAAAGGTGCAAGCGATGTTGGTCGGAAGACTGTGGCAAGCGATGAGACTGTGGCAGAAGAACCAGAAGGCGTGCCAAGTGTAGAGGCACATTGGACTCCACGCCATGGCCGCCGGCAGGAATTGGTGTCAATGGGTGATGTCTACTCTATTCGACTCTACCTGTAGCTTGCCATGCTTGTGATCTTTTGCAATGCAATGTGTCAACTGCTGTATATTGCAAGTCCTTTCATGTTATGTTATGTGGCGCTGTGCTCGTAAACGTTACGATAAAGACCTGTGGGTCTACAGCAATTATAGTATATTATAGATATAGTAGCTGTACACTCTTCGAAAGCAATCCAGAGCGAGCTGAAAGTGCTGACCGAAGGGAGCTGAAAGATCTGAAAGTGCAAAATCATCCGTTCCGATTCCGCTGTCGATGTGCTCACCGGTTTTCCGTTCCGCAATGGTTTCCACCATGGATGTCCGTTTTCCAGCGCCAATCATCCAAAAAACAGAGACCGAATCCACGTGAATACGTCAACGGGCGTATCAATTCGCTTTGTGGCACATCTCATCAGCCCGTGTGGTGTCCACCACACGGCCCCACTCTCCTCGTGCTCGGCCCTCCGAAAGGCCGCGCCGAAACCACGCGCGGTAAGCGGCGTCCGCGTCGAGCCCGCTGGGAGGTCTGCCGCTTCGAAAGAGAGGTTTAGTTGTCGCCTTTTTGGCCCTTCGTGGGGAAGTTTCACTGCGTTGGGTCTTCATTGCGTTCCCTAAAGAGATGCCTAGGGCCTAGCCTTGAGCTCCTTCCTCGTGTGTTGCTTGTGTTTCGTGTCTGCGGTCTGGCACGGTCCGGCAATGTATGTCAACTGCAGCCCAAAATCAGAAGAATAGGCCTGCCGGCACCTGGCCTTGTTGCTACACGGGGTGCCGAAGCAAGGTCATAAATCAGTCTGGCTTACATGTCGGCAGTCAACACAAACAGGCACTGACATAGAAAGAGCTCCTCTCAATACGCAAGACTGCCGGATCTTTACCACTACAAGTCCTCCTCACAAGCATTCCAAGGAAAACGTTGAAAAATCATTCACAGGTCGGGATGACAGATCAGTGCAGCACTTTGTTTCACTGCACGACCAGTGCTCTTCAGCATCAAGCCGGCAAGCCGCACAAGCAGCGTCGCGGCAAGCCGGCAACGGCGTCTTCCTCGGATCGAGTGCTGGGAGGAAACGGCGGCCAGCGGCTTCCACAAGATAGTGAGTAGTCGGCAAACATCTATCGTAGTAGCAATGCCAGGAGCCCCTAGTAGCGCCCTTGCTCTGTTCGGCGTCCTTGCCCCGGGTTCCTAGCAGCGATGCCAGGAGCTACCTTCGTAGCTTCGTGTTCGGGGCATGAAAGCTTCTTTGGACCCAACCAAATTGACCCAACGCCAGGAAGTTCCACAAAGACGGGCATGACATTGCTGTCTTGAACATCTGTGCAATGGTGTTCCAACTGTCCAATCACCCTGTCATCCTCATAGACATCGCTTCTTTTGGTCAAGTCTCGGCCAGACTGGCTACATCGCTGTCATCATTGAGATTCGTCGCTGTAATCCTGTCATCCCACAACAAGCTGCAGCAACACATTGTCTTGCAAGCACATGAAAACGAAACATGGTCTTGCCCTGACGCATAGCACTTCCGTTGCAAGCCGAACAAGCGTTGCGCAGCGCATATTTTTAATTAGTCCAAACTCTCTGTCAAGCCACCCTGGCCAAGATGGATGGTGGTGGCCATGTTGCCTCCTGATTCTGGCTTGGCTTCTACAAACCTTACCACAGAGCCACAGGTGTTTTCGTTTTTGACGTGCTTCCGCGTTTCTCTGCACCGGTTAAAATCGCAAAAAAGAAGTTCTGTTCCACAAAACCCTCAAAGTCTAACAGAAAGAAATGAACGCAAAGCTCGAAGCTGGCCGGCTTAAGGCACTGGCAAGGCTTCAAGAAGTGCTGCGCCGTCATGATTGTCGCCTGTTCACCTGATGTTGAGATCCTTCAAAGGATTCCATCAGGACTCATTCTCAAAGAAAATGGAGTGAAGAAACTCCCAAGTTAGAAAAGAGCGAGTTTAAAACGAAAAAAAACTGATTGAATCCTTCGACCCTTTTGGGAATCCTGTCTGATTGACGCGTCTGTGAAAAGTTGGTGAACCAACGAAGGGTCGACCAGTGAGCGGGGTCGGAGCTACGTTCGTAGCTTCCTTTGCTCCGTTCGTAGTAAGGCCAGGAACAAAGTGGACGTTCTTGAACATGTCATTCACAAACTCTCAAATATGAGGACGCTGTTCTTCAATTATGAAAAATATATGTGTGCCAAATATGTGGAAAACTCAAACAATTGAGGTTTCTTTTTGGAGGTCCCCTTTTTCTTTTGCACAGCTTTGAACAAGGGACTTGACTAGTCGAACAGGTAAATCAGAAGGTCTACAGTCTATGATAGTCTATGGCATTTGCGGCCAGAGAAATTGTCCAATCATGAAAAATGCCACTTCAAAGCACTGTCCACTTACACCATAGTTGTTGCACAAATCACCACAGTTCACCACTCACCACATTGCATCGATCACCACTTGGCACTCATCACCGCATCGACGCACGTCCAGTCGCAAACCTCGTGGGTCCTCGGCAGCCCGGCAGATCCAACCCCCAAAACGCCACCCAAACGCTTCAGACCAACAGAACAGATCAGCGAATGCCACATCAAAGCAACATCCATCAGTGGCGTTTAAAACCAAAAACTTTGCCAATCCATCTCGTCCCCTCCTCTGCCGGAGATGACCCCTGAAATTCTGAGCTTCTCCACGGGACGATGAGAAGCTTGCTAGCAAGGTTCCAAGCTGGGAAGGTTTGACACCAGAATGTGTGCTCCAGTGAGGTGGTTAACGTGAACAGCCGTGTCTCAGCTTTCACGCACATGTGCATCATGTCCCTACTCAGAGTCTGGGAAGCGACAAGTTGTGCGCCACGCACAAGTCAGTCAACTTGAAAGCTCAGTTCTCGGCATTGCAATGCCCACATTACACCGTTCGTGGAGAACGAAAAGCCTCACCACCTGGAAGAAAAGTGACGACGAGACTTGCGTTCTCACTCGTTCCCGGCTCGGCCTCCGACGCGTCGATCCGCACGTCGGTCATCAAGGCCGCAGACGTGCGGCCTGAAGAAACCATCTCGTCTGCATGACTCGTGCTTAGTAGAGAATGTGGTATACCGAAAATATGACGTGGCATGGCGGATGTCACTGACGTGCTTAGACGTGCCATGTGATGACGCTATGCCCTTTTTTGGGCGCAGAGTCGAATTGGAGAGTAGAGGAATTCGAATTGGAACACAGGTTCTCAATTTCAGAAATTCAGAGTAGAGGAATTGGAACAACCTTTTTTGGCCGTAGTTCCTTCTCAATCGCCCCAAACAAAGAAGATCGAGACCGCCGAAGCACACACTGATCGGCCCAGGGACAGTCGATTCGATGAACACAACTTCACCTGGCAGGGACAGTTCAGCTGAGTGAACACAGATGCAAGGACAACTAAACTACTAGTATATACACAAACTGCACTCCCGAAAACTAGCATGGACCCTGAGAATGACACCCTCAAAGACGATGTTCCTCTACAAACCAACCCGTGGTTTTCAGGGTCTATGTTGGTTTTCAGTGGGCTATATACAACAATATAATGACCTGCCAAATCATGCCAAATGACAATCCGAACATGTCGTAGCATGTCGTTACCGAAAGACTGGTTCTGTCTCAACGCTGAATCCTATGCTCCTGGCTTCAAGACTCATCACCACAACTGCAACGAGCCAAATGATTCACCATAGCAGGGCTTGGACGGGGCACTTTTGATCTCACATTGAAACTGGAGGTGCTGTCGGATTCTCTTGCAACGCCATGTGCACAAGATACCAGGTACCTTTCAGGTGAAGATACTATGGCAATTTAGAGGGCGGCTCACATCCAGATGTCTTTGTCCAACATGAATATTCATCGCCCGACATTTTGAAACTGTTGTCGCATGATGATGCCCTCTCACCACCACAGGTCTCCATTCCGTATCTACCAGGTGTTCCGTCACAGGACCTGGCAAAGCCCAAAATACTCTTCACTTTGCAGCCACAGCACGGCTTGCCCTCCTCCTCTTCCGCCAGCTTCGACTTTGACGCGTGCGACGAATGCGACTCTGCATGCGACTGGGCATGCAACGACACCGTGGCTGCTGTGGCTTTCTCGTGCAGATCGTGAGAGGGGCGAACGGCAGCAGCCAGCTCCAACGCCAAGAAAACGAACACGAAGTACTTCATGCTCGCCATGCTGAAACTCAAAGGCAACTGTTAGATGATGAGAGCTGAGGCTGTGATGGCTG